ACCGAAAACCGCAGAACCAAAAACCGCGGATATCCGAACCGAAGCCGAACTGCTGCCATCCCTAGTGCGATACGGGCACGCAAATCCTAAGGCGTCGAGGACTAGGCGAGCACGAGAGGCGGTGCACAAGACGCGTGCGACACGCGCGAGATTAGGGCGGCCGAGAGCTTATAAGGCGCAAGACTTGGAAGTTCTAGAATTGCTTGGTGTGCAAGCCAAGCATTAGTATTTTGGTAGTAATAATTTTATTGCTTTCTAGTATTAGGATTTCTATTATTGCAAGATTTAAGAGATCTAGTTTATTTAGGCCTAGATTTATTTTATGCACCTATAAATACCCCATGTACCTCATCATAATTGAATGGTCTATGAAGAGTTGAATATAGTATTGAATTGGTGAGCCAATTGTGAGGGGGAACTGTTGTTCTTACGTGTGTTTAAACAAGACAGTTAGTGCGTGTTTACATACAGTGTCGGAGAGAAGGCCACTAGAGCGTCTTGAAGTCATGGTGTCTAGGAGAAGGCTGAAGTGCGTCTGTTAGATACACCTATCGTGGATAAACGAAAGCCCGAGTGCACGTTTATTCACAACCCGGAAATAGATAAAAACACGGTCTGTCCTCATTGGTGCTTTCATTGAGAGGTGTTGATCGTGTTGTTATCTATCTATCCTTTTCTTTTTTCGGTTTTGCCTTTTGCTGAGGGGGCCGAATTTTTGTTCTTTTTTGGTTCGAAAGTTTCGAATTTTCTATTCGAATTTTTCAAATTTTTTTTCGAAAGTCTTAAAAAAAAGTATCATCTTGTTAGTCCTTTGTTTGTTTTTTGTTCGGTTATTACCTTTTGTTAAGGGGCCGAATTTCTCTTTGTTTTTTTGAAATTTTTTGGTTCGAATTTTTAGAGTAAAAAAAAAAATGTCTTACCCACCATTGGATGAGTTAGATTGGGAAGATCTTGAGATGTTGGAAGGTTTAGAAAGAGAGCTCACACCATGGGAGAAAACATATTTAGATGAGCTTCATGAGCGAAGGAATATCGAAGAATACGAGCGAAAACTCGTAGAAGCCCGAGAAGAAATGGTGATCGAGGCTCGTGACCATGAAGATGAAGGAGCGCTGAATTTTATAATCCTTGAGGACAAAGAAAGTCTCGAAGAGAAGGGGAATGATACAGAAGTGGTCATCAATCCCGGTGAGTCCGACGATGATGATGGCGATAATCTAGATATTTGGCTAGAAAATATATTGGAAGAGCCATCTAGTCCTATTTACCGGCCATCATGTGTGAGGGATTGGCCGAAAGGATGTGGTCCACGAGCTAAGCTTAAGCCTAAGAGACGCAAGACCAAACGAGCTCGAAGGAAACACAAGGCAAAAGCAAAAGAAAAGAAGTGTTGGTGTAAGCCGTGTGCGAGAAAGAGACGAGTTCGCAAGATG